AACCAGAGAAATTATACACACACACGTGGAAATTAAACAATACACTCTTCAATAATCAATAAGTCACAGAAGAAATCAAAGAAAATAGGTAGTTCCTTAATTCAAACAACAATGGCAATACAACACTCCAGAATTCATGGGATGCAGTAATATTTGCCCTGTGATGAAGAATATTGCTGTGAATGTCTGAATTAGAGAAAGAAAGAATATATTCACTCTAAGATCCTAAGGATGTACTTCATGCTCCAAGAAAATGTAGAACAACTCAAATTCAAAGCTAATATAAAGGGGGAAATTATTAAGATTAGATTGCAGTTAATGAAATTGTGACTATAAAAACAAAGCAGTGACATTAATGCACCATGATCTTCTTTCCGTTTTTCTGGGTATGCACCTAGAAGCAGAAATGCTATGACTATTAATCATAGTATGCCAACTTGACTGGATTAAGAAATACCTAGCACACTATAAAGTACATATCTAGGTGTGTTTGTGGGTGTTTCCACAGAAGACTGACATTAGTGCAGAAGCAGAGGGGACAGAACTCACCCTCACTGTGGGTGGCACACGATGCTTGCAGCTTAGATGCAATTAAAATAAAAAATACCAGTGTGAATGAAGAAGGACATTTCTGAATTGCTGTCATTCCCTTTGGACACAAGTCTCAAGTTTCTTTAGCTTTCTAATTGCAGACACACACCAACAACTCTAATGCACTTCCAGCCTTTGACCTTGGACTGAAGCTGCTTCGCTGCTCTTTCATGGTTGTGACTTACATATTCTGGCCCTAGAAGTTACTATACCCTCCAGCTCTCTGTCACACAGAGCCAGCATGGAGTCCCACGCCTCCAATGCTCTGCGCCCAACTGAAAGCCGCTCTGCAGGATTACACATACACTTCCGACTCATGTGTTCTTCTGGAGAAGCCTAACCGACACACCACATCACACAAAGCTCCAAATTTAACTTACAGAGGAGTCACCACACCATTTCCAGTGTGGCTGGGCCACCTTCTGTTTCCACCAGCAATTACAAGGGCTTCAACAGCTCTACCTCCTGTAGCACTTACAGGTTTCTGTCTCAGTCTTTAAAAATTATCCATCCTAATAGGTGTAAAGTCTATCATTATGGTCTGATTTTAATTTTTCTCAATGATATTAAGAATATTTACATGTGTTTGTTAAACACACATGTATCTTCTTTAAAACTATCTATCCAAATCTTTTTCACACGTAAATAAGTATTTAACTATCTTCTCATGGGTTCTTTGTATTCTGTATTATACAGAAAACTTATTAGATATTTTATTACAAATATTTCCTCCCATTCTGTGAGTTTTCTTTTCACAGTCTTAACAGTGTTTTTCATTCTCAAAAGTTTTTAATACTGAAGAATTTTACCTATTTTTAGGGTGTCTCTCATTCTATTTCATTATTTTTAAGGAGAATAATAGCAAAAGAACATTAGAAATGATACAGAACTTTTTAAAAATTTCTTTATTATTTGTTGGGCTTTTGTTTTGATTTGTTTTTTTTTTGCAGTACTGGGGATTGAACTCACAACCTTGTACTTGCCAGGCAAGCGCTTGTGCCGCTGAGGTATACCCTTGGCCAAGAAATGATACAGAATTTCACTGAACAAAATAATAGGAATTCAACAATGGTTTTTAAACTGCATATTGTTGTTTTCAAATTAATTGTTCAGATTACCAATACAAGAATGCAAAATTGGTCAAGAAAGTTATAAAAACTATAAAGGACAAAGAAAGAAAAACTAGAGACCCAGAGCGCAGGCCCGGCGAGTGAGTGAGAGGACCCAGGGCCTGCGGGATCCTGAACAGACCCAGAGCGCAGGCCCAGCGAGTGAGTGAGATGACCCAGGCCATGGGATCCTGAATAGACCCAGAGCCCAGGCCCGGCGAGTGAGTGAGATGACCCAGGCGGCAGGATCCTGAACAGACCCAGAGCGCAGGCCCAGCACGGAACCCTTCAGCAGAACTCCCTGCAAAGAGGCTAGAGGCAAGACCCACCCAGGTGATTCAGCAGCAGAACATCTTGCCAGAGAGACACAAAGGGTTCAACTCTAACAGCTGCAGCAGAAAGAAGTGGAGCACAGCAGCCAGATCCAAGCAACACCCACCTGGAGGAATCTGAACTTCATAGGTCCGGACCTGGTGCTAAGGTAATAACTCTATCTAAGCTCTACACCAAAGGTCAGAAGACAGTGGTATA